TCCGTGTCACCAATCATCAGGGAAACGCAAATCAAAACCACACGAAGGGACCCCCTCACACCCATTAGGAGGGCCACCAACAGACACCAGCCAGACAGCCAGCCAACCCGGAAAGTAACAAGTGTTGGTGAGGATGTGGAGAAATGGAAATTCTTGTTTATTGTCGGTAGAATTGCCACATGGCACAGTGGCTATGAGTATGTGAGTTCAGCAAAAAATTAAAAATAGAATCACACGATCCAGCAATCCCACTTCTGGGTAAATAGCCAAGAAAATTCAAAAGTAGGATCTTGAAGACACGCTTGCACACCATGCTTATTGCGGAACTATTCATAATAGCCCAGAGGGGACTCAGGTGCCCTTCCACCAGCAGAGGAAGGGACAGATAAAGGAAATGCACTATATACACACAATGAAATATTATTCCACCTTAAAAAGGAAGGAAATTCTGTTATGATGCTACAACATAAAGGCACCCCAAGGACATTAGGCTAAGTAAAATAAACCAGTCACAAAAAAGACATATTCTGCATTGGATACATTTACAGGAGGTATCCAACGTAGTCAAACACTTAGACACAGAGAGGAGAATGCTGGTTGCCAGGCCTGGGACAAGGGGCAAGGAGGTGGTCGTTCCATGGGTAGAGTTTCTGTTTCATAGGAGGAGAAAGTTCTGGAAAGCGCTTCCACAGCAAGGCCCGTGGAGTTAGGACTGCTGTACCGCGCCCTTAAAAACGTTTGCGATGGCCGATTTTACGTGACGTGTTTTTGACCACGCTAAAAAGAAAAAGGAGATTCCCAATACAAGCTGTCCCATGATCAGAACCTCAGGAGAGCGCCTGTGTGATCCTAAACCGTTTTCAGAAAAATCAGCACGGGTTCTAGTGGATTCCACGATTTGAAACGTCTTCACCATAGCTTTCACTGAAATGATGCCGTATACAAGTGGTGTCATCAATTAAAAAAAAAAAGACAGAATCCTCAAAGAGGGGTGGTTTTCAAGCTGGATGCTGAAATAAGTAGGATGGTAATCGACCAAAGAGTGGGGGGAGGGAAAGCCTGTCCACAAATTGGGCGTGGGCGGGGGCAGGGGCGGTGGAGAAAAGGCCGAGTGTGTTTCTGCAAGGCGGGGTGGCGGGGGGCCAGTGAAGGGGAACAGGTGGGAAAAGGGGCCAGTTTGTGGAGGGTTTTAACCTCCGGCGGAATGAGGGTTCACGTGGCCGGGCGGAGGCAGGCGGAGGTCAGGGCTGGCGGGGGGGGAGAAACGCGGAGGGCTGAGCCGGGGCGGCACGCGTGTGGGCGCTGAGGGGGGAGGGGACAAAGCCCGTCTGGTGTAGGCCGAGGGAGTCCGTGGGAGCCCAGCCGGCGGTGCGGAGCCCAAGCAGCGGGGGGCTCTCCCCGGTGGGCGATCAGATTCACCTGATCACGCGCGACCTTCCCTTGAACCCCGTCAGAAAATCACCGAGAAATCCCTCATCCCCATAAATTACAGACAAGCACGGTAGCAATGACAGATTGGGGGCAACCAGCAGTGGCCTCGCAGCTGTCCCTGCCGGCAGGGGTCTTTAACACCCCGGGGTGAGATAACATCACACTAGCCTCCCAGATCGGTTTTGTGCTGGTGAACTAGCAGAAGGAAGGTCTCAGGGTGGGGGGCCAGGGGCCCCCACTTTCCCCATCATTTACTTGAGCAAAGGAGCCCCACTTCCGGTGGAAGCAGTTGGGGATGGCAAAAGAGGGAAAGGGGAGATCAGGGAACATTCCTCTTGAAACAGACATTCAGTGAGTGACCTTCTGTTACCTGAGGTATCAGCCAGCAGGGCATGCATTCCTGGGGGGCAGCTCACGATGCCCCCCCCACCGTGAGGCCAGGCCCCCCATCCTCCCCAGCAGATCTCTGAGCCCCTAACTGATGACAGTTACATTCTAGGGTCAACGATGACTGTCAGAGGTTCCCACCGCTGGTACCCCAGACTCAGGAATTTCTGAGAGAGTGTGTTTGGCGGATTCCGTTCCGTGTGCCCCATAAACAATAAACGGGGAGACCCGACAGAGGCTGGTTCTGGAAATACGGGCCTCATGTCACTCACAGCCGCTATTTCTGGACTTCACGGACTGGCCACAACGTTCATGTGGATGACTGTGTTTAACCTTTGTGGCACTCCACGTGGAAGGTGCTATTGTTATAGTTTCATTGTATAGCTGGGGAAACCGAGGCTCCCAGAAGTTAAAAAGCCTCCCAAAGTCAGGCCCTCCAAAGTCGAGGTGCGCACGCTGCGACCTGTCTGCTGGACTGGGAAGCTACGGAAAACCCGTGTCTGGTCCCTGCGGGTTCACCTTCCGGGGCTGGCTGAGCGGGGGCCGGGGCGGGTGGGTCAGGGGCTCACGCTGAGTGCAAAGTGCAAGGGGCGCCTCAGACCTCAGTGAATCAAGAGAGATTAATATTGTAACGCAACTTTTACAAAATAAACATTAATGCAAAAACTCCATGGTGAATAAAATAATCAACATTTTAAATAAGAAAGAATCTAGCCAGTGACTCAGGGTTGGTGGGGTGGGGGCGGGGGTCCTTCGTGGGTTGGTCTCTCGGGAGCAGATTCCTGGAGTGGGTGGTGAGCCTAGCCCGCCCCTTGCCCCTCCAGTTAGATCACAAAGGGGGACTCAAAGCAGCCAGCTGGGTAATAAGACTGTCCATGCTGAATGGGGAGCGGGTCTGGAATCCCAGAGAATGAATGAAAGTCAACTTGCTCTGCTGTGCCTCATGTGACTTCTGCCACTGCTGCTGCTCCTGAGTAGGGGGGGGGACCTTGAGGGAGAGCCCACAGCCCCTCGGGGATGGGAACCTCCCCTGACCCGAGGCCGACCCTATGAAGAGAGCAGGAAATTCAGCTGAGAGTGTCCGTGTCCCCTCGGGGCAGCCAGGGGCTTGGCACACAAGGCTACTTCCTAATGAATGTCATGGGCCCCAGGCCAAAAGGGAAGACGTACAAATGAGTCTTGCTGGAGCACGGAATGAGTTTTCCTAAGCCTGTGCCTTCCCAGTGCCTTGGCTCCCGGTTCCCAGAAAAGTGGCTGCAGGCAGCCGAGGAAGGTGTGGGCAGAGAGGGTGGCTGGCCGGCGCCGCAGAGGGGCGAGCTCTCCGACCAGGCTGGGGGCCAAGTCACCGAGAGCTCCTCGGAGAGGAGGAGGGAGGAGTGCCCCGTTCTCGGCAGACCTCCAGCCCGGGCTAGGAATAGTTCAGGGTTTAAGCGGCTGGAAACTTCCAGGGCCCTTCTGCTGGGCAGCCAGGAGAAGGGCTGTGGTCACTATTATCCGTGGTGAGCCCGTGGAGGGGCTTCTTCAAGCGTGTTTCCGAATCTCCCTGTTTCAAAAGGAGGATCGTGCTTGAAAGCGACTGTAGGGTGTAGGTAGGGTTTGGGGTCTGACATTTGGGGGTTTGAGCTTATTTCTAAGGTGATCAACTGTCCCGGTTTGCCCAGGGCTCAGTTGAACCCGCCCCCAGGGGGGTTCCAGGGACGCTGGACTTTCCATGCTAACATCAGAAAAGTCCTGGGGGAGTTGAGATGAGGGGATCCCTCTGTCCAGACCCCTTTCTAGCAGCAACCCCCTCAAACTGCGCCTCTGCTTGTCCACACGTGCAGAACCTGCCGATAAGACCTGCTGGGCTCACAGCGCAAACTGGCGAGACCCAGAGGAGCTGACGCAGGTTGCCTGCCGCCCCTCGAAGGTCCCCGACAGCACGTCCGCTGTCAGGCGGGCATCTGCAGCCTCTCCTCTCTCTCGGTTGGCGCGCTGTTTGCAGGGGCTGGAGTGGGGACGGGCTGAGGCCACCTCACTCACCTCCGCACCCCAGGGCCTTGGCTAGGTAGGGCCTGGCAAGAAGAAGATACTGGGGAAATCTGCACTACACTGAAAGCGCTTTGAGAAGCAAGGCACAGAATGCATGCAGTCCCTGGCTGGCGGGCACTCTCATTTTCTGCCTGCCCCTTAGCCCCGTGAGAAGGCCGTCTGGAGGTCAGACAGACAGACAGACAGACGTTGCCCCCCGGGCAGCTGTCAGGAGAACAGAGCGGGCAGTGAGGGCAGGGGGCATGGCCGAGGTGGGGCCAGGGGAGCAGACAATAGGGGGACAGGCGGCGGGAGAAGCTGGGGAGGGCCGCGTGGGCAATGAGGACACAGCAGGTCCCCACCACAGCGGGGAGATGGGATTTGGCTGGGGTCTTAACAAGAGGGGCAGCCTCATCCTCTCGCCTCTGGGACTCCGGCAGTGAGCTGAGCTGTACCTGCAGTCTGAGCTCCAGTGCTTGCCCTTGGCTGCCTGCCTGCCTCCCCGATTCTCCCCCAAGGCCGGTGATCCCTCTGGAGAGCCTTCTCTGGGGGTCACCCAGACCTCAGCATGCTGAGTGAGCTGCCCTCTCTGGCCTAGGCACAGCCCAGCCAGGCAGGGCGATACCTGGGGGGCTGTCTGCTCCACATGTCAGCACCCCCCCCATTCCTTGCCTCCCCCACCCCAGCCCTCATCCTGCTCCTCTGCCTCTAGGCTCCTGACCCTGCTTGACCACCCAGGCTTCTGGCCTTGGCTGCAGCCCTCTGAACTTCTTTCCCAGCTAATTCCCATGGTGAGCAAACCCCGGGGCTCTGGGGCCAGGATACGGTGGGGAGATGCACGGCCCAGAGGCAGCCTGGGTTCAGGGAAGCGCCTGTCCAGCCCTTACCGGCCCATGCTGGGCTCCTTCCCACACGTCCTCCAAATCTTTGTGGGTCCTGTTTCATTCTCTCGCTGGCACATCCTTCCTGGGGCCCAGGAGGGCTGGGGACACCTAGACCCATCACCCGGGAACCCTAGAACTCTGAGTAAAAGAAACCCCAAAGGTAACTCCTACATTTGAATAGGTCAGATAGTATTGTTTGCAGTGCAGGGCAGTCAGGCTCAGAGAAGGCAAGAAACCTCCCTAAGGTCACACAGTAAAAGAATGGTCAGCTGCTCTTCAGCCACCTACCTGAACTCTCCTTTTTCCGTCTGGTGGACTTCTTCTCCGTCTCATTGGCAGTGCTCCCAGGGACCTCGTAGTCCTCTCCTGGGCCTCCCGTGGTGTCCACCAGGCCTGGGCTGCTGGCCCCCAACTCCCTGGAGCCCCCGGTTGGGCCGGGGTCGAGCCTGCGCCGGGCCTCCGAGACAGGGAAGTGCCAGTCGGGGGGCTGTGGGAAGGCGGGGTGCTGCTCAGTGAAGACCCGCTCCTCCTGGGGCAGGCTGTGGGGGGTGGCCGCCAGGCAGGAGGCCGAGAAGTCGGGGTACGCTGCCGCCGCCGCCGCCGCCACAGGGAAGTCTGGTTTCTGGTGGAAGGAGAACGGGGTGGGCGGGTAGTGGGGTAGCCCCGAGGCCCCGCCGCCTTCCGAGTGGGGATTCCGCAGGCAGCCCCACACCGGGGCTGGTGGGTGGGGGCTCCTCATGCAGCTGCTGGCCAGGGGATCCATCTGCCGTCCGCTGCACACCTCAGTCTTTCAAAGGTCTGATTCGCCCACTGCTTATATTCAAATTTTTTAAAATGCAAAAAAAAAAAAAAAGAAATTAAAGAAGAGGGCAAAATATTCAGCAGAAAGTTCACCCCAGGAACCAAAACAAAAACCAAAACTAAAGTCTCTTTTTCAAGTCCACACACGTGTGGCCGGCTACACGTCTGTGTGCACACACTTATGTCTGGCTTCAGTTCTGGCGTCCTGCTCCCCGGGCACATCAGCCTGCCTACTGGGGTCCCCTGTGTGTGTGCATGTCGCCGATGACACTGAACATTGTCCCTGTCCCAGCCCCGACGCACCAGCTAGTGCAGTGCCCGTCCTGCAGCCCGCAGCGAACGCCTGCCCAGGGCTGGACCGGGGCTGCTGCGGAGACACACTTTTAAATGCTGCGGTGGGGAGAGAGGGACACATTTCTGAAGTGAAATGTGAGAGAGGAGAGGGAGGGGTTAACCCGCACCCACACCATCCCCTCCAACCAAAACCCGAGCAGGCCACGATTAATCATCAGAAACCTTATATGCACATCTAATGGGATTTGCAGATGGAGACTTTTAAAGAAACATTGTCTGTATTTTTTTTTTTTAAGGAGAGAGAGCAGCTCACCCATACAACTTCTTTAATGTGCCTTCTGTAACACTATGAAGTTACTTTTATTGCACTGTTAACGAAATTCCCCAAGTCTTGGATTTGGAAAAAGCCTTAAGTCAGATCCAGAATCCGTCAAGGGCCAGATTCCAGGGAGCGAGCGGAGAGGGGGATAAATGCAAGAGACAAGGGTGCTGATTGCGTTTGATTTAAAGGTCCTTCTGCTGCTGCTTGCGAAAAGGGAGGTGGATTAAAGAAATCTTTTTTTTTTTTTTTTGCAAGTCTTAGCGGCCCACAGGGGTCTGTGGTGTACAGAAAGACATCCTCCAGAAAAAAAATGATTTCTCTCTGCCCAAAGTGACACTCTTACTTTCTCAGTAACTTAAAAAAAAAAACAAACAATCAGATGCTTCCGTCCGTTTCTTAACCCCCAACTTCATGCCAATTAGCTACACGCTTCTCCAGAGGGGTTTCAAGGCATTTTTCTCAGTGACAAAGGAGAGGCTCTTACTTAGAGAAGGTCCTTGAAGTGTCTCCAGGCCTCCCCCACCTGCTCCCTGGCCCCCTAAACTTCACCCACCTGCTTCCCCCTCCCCACCTCCCACCCCAGATGCCAAGCTTCCCATGAGGCCTGGGGCACGGGAACAGGAATCAGGGGTAGTTTCATTCCTGAAGGGGTTCTCCTTGGCACATGGTCACGTGGGCGTCCTGGCCGGTGCCTGTCGCAGGAGGGCCAATTGCCATTTCACCCGGTCGGTCATCCCCTGTGACCTGCTGGTCTCTGTGGAGGGTTAATGCAATTTCTCGAGGGGTGGCATTCCAAGACCACGGACCAGAGCTCCTCTCCCGCGGAATATTTCCACAGCCCAGAGCAGCAGGGTCAGGGCTGAAATGGGTGTGAACTATAATAGTGGTGTCTCTGCTCGCTGGTTCCAAAGGAGTGTAGGGGGGGTCTTAGCTCTGTAGCCTGGGGGCTACACATGCTTTTCATGAAACAGGCTTTTCGTCTTCGGCAATGGGCAGCCGGCGCCTTGTCGGCCACAGGAGGAGACGGGGCCACAGCCTTAAAGCAGGCTCATTTCTCCACTTCGGCCAGGACGTAGCTGTTGCATGCACATTTCTCCTCCGAACCTCTCCACCCTCCTATTATGGGTAAAGGGAGAATTATGGTCACATTTTACAAACGAGGAAGGCGAGGCTCAGGCAGGTAGCGTGAGATGCTGCACATCACACAGCTGGGAACTGGCAGAGCCGGGAGCTGCCCCCAGGTGTGTGGAGCCACTCGGTGCCTGGACTTTGGGCTTGCACAGGTGTGGGTTCAAATGCCGGGTCTGCCACTTGCTTACTGTGTGCCCTGGGACGAGGCGCTTTGCCTCTCTGAGCTTCCGTTTCCTCAGCCAGGATGACAGACCACCCACCCACCCACTGACGACGGCTGACATCCATCCGCGGGTCTTCACACCTCCCAGCGCTCCCCCCCTGGATCCCCGCCAAAGCCCTCTGAGCCCCGTGCTTTACACATTGTCTCCATTTTTTCAGAGGAGGACTCTGAAGCACAGAGAGACTGTGTAACCAGCACGGGGCCACACAGCTGGGAAGTGGAGGCCCCGGGATTCAAACCCGGGCAGCCTGGCCCTGCTGCATCAGAATGCCTATCCCACAGACACTTGAGAAGTTTAAACCAATCGTTTATGTGAGTGGCCGAGTGAGTAATAGATAAATGGGGCTCCCTTCCTAGCCTGTCTCACTCTCCTTAACTTGACCATCTGAGGGGAGACTGTGGGGCTGGGGGGCACTATGGGAATTCTACAGGGACAGCCTGGTAAGGCCCCCAGGGCTCCAGGCTGTGGGGCTCCAGAAAGAATCCCTACGAGGCTGGAAGTTCCTAGGAAAACCCTCCCCAGGCCGGCCCGGCAGGCTGTAACCGGATTCCTGCCCTGGCCTCCTCATTGGGCCCAGGGAGGCCCAGCGGCCTGGCCCTTTGCCCCTGCAAGGGGTAGGCCCGGGGTCACGGCGGGGTGGGCGGAGAGGTCAGGAGGGGCTGTGGGGAGGGGCCCGGGCACCCCAGGACCCCCCTCCCCACCCCAAGCAGCTGCTAGCGTCTGTCAGCCACCCTGCGGGACGCGGCCAGGGGCCGCTGGCCTTTATGTCTTCCTGACAGGCCCCTCTTCTGAGGCCAGGAAAAAACAACAAGGGGCCCTCCCCTCTTGGCAGCCCGTTTGCTAGATGAAGGCCGGGCACCGGCACCTTTAACCTCCTCAAAGTCAGCCTGTCCCTGTCAAGGCCCCCGCGGGCCTGAGAGGCAGAGACGGATGGAAGTGGCTCTTTGTGGAAACAAGGCCCGAGGCCAGGAGGCCAAGGGGAGCGGGGCCTTCAGGAAGGGAGGGGACCCTGTTTCTGGTTGTTACGGGGGGTGGCCGGGGGAGGAAGAGGAAAAGCGTGTGTTGGGAGGAGGGGCCCTGGAGTGGGCAGTTGACGGGGCCGCACCTGAACCGTCCCAGAGAACTTGGAATTTCCCCCATTGGGCACGGCCGGCCCCCTGGCAGTGGGTTCTGGGTGCCGTGCCGTGCACCCCACCCGCCTGTGCCTGGGGCAGCTGCGGGGTGTCGGAGGCGGGACCTGGGGCTGCAGGTAGAAGACTCGGGTTGGGGACAGGGCCATGCGTGGTCTCAGGCAAATCCTGAGCCTTGGTTTCCTCGCTGGCAGGTGGCTGCTCTGCGGGATGTCTGTGCAAAGACTTGGCTGGCTGCAGAGGGTGGTGCAATGCTCTGCTGGCCCCCAGGGCACGGCACGTCCCAGCGGAGGATGAAGATGGCTCATCTTAGTCCCTAAACACCTTCTCCTATGGCCGTATAACAAAAGGTCAAGGTCATGGCCTCGGGAACTGGGAGAGCATGGGTTTAAACCCCAGCTCTGCCATTATAACGAGCTTCATGGCTTTCAGCAACTCGCTTTATCACTTGAGCCTCAGTGTTCTCATCTATACATTGGGGATGCACTTTTTCTTCTCCCCCCACTCAGTCTCTGAGAGAAGTGAGCGAGGCGAGCCTGGTGTACAGTTTTTGGTGACACGAGCCGGGTGGGGCTGAACACGCCTGAGGTTTTCATCCTAAGGGTAGCCCTGTAGAATGTGTGCTCCCTAAGAGGGACAAGACAAAATGATTAGCATTCGCTCAGAAGGCTGACGTGCGAGCCAGACGAGACACCTTTCCCGAGCAAGACCTCGGGGGAGGGGCGGGAGGCTGGCCCGCTTTCAATACGGAGGGGGTCTCCCGGGGCTGGGGTCTGCACTGTCGGGCCTGGCCTCCATGTGGAGTGTGTGTGTCCTCTGCCTCTCAGAAGGCTCTGAAGACGCAGGGTCGCTGCTGCCCTGCTGCCCTCGGGGACTGCGTGAGGCACAGGACCGAGGTGGGGGAACCACTGAATACAGTTCCCATGACTGCCACGGAAGCTCCCTCGGGGTGAGAGAGGTGGGGCCAGGCATTCCGCCCCAGGGAACCAGTGATGGGGTCTCTCTCTACCCTGTCCCGGGGAGTGCTGACGGAACAGGGACCGCTCCCTCAGAGGAATGTCTTCTCTCGCACACGTACATCTTAAACTTCGGGGCTGGCCGTCGCGTGCCCGCTGCCAAGACTATGGGCAGGTGCCTTAACAGCACGATGCACAGAGGGGCCTGCGTTGGAACCTCGGCTTTCAGAAGTCACGTGACCTCGGCTTCCTCATCGGAAAGGCAGAGGCTTGCTGTGCGGACGAGGTGCAGGCACCCAGAAGGGGCTCAGTAAACGTTCACTTTCCAGGGCTTCTGCGTGCGCCTGGCGGAGTCGGGGCAGCCAGGTGAAGCGCAGGAAGTCCAGGTTAGGTACGCTCCACGCAATATTAGGAACACACACTAAAACGCCGTGTGTTGTTGATTGGAAATTTAAATTTATTTGGGTGTCCTCCCTCCTCCTCCTCTCCTCCTCCCCAAATCTGGGAACCCTCATCTGAGGCAAAAGTCGTCTTCCAGATGCAAGACGGCTCAGTTGGGTCTTACCTTCTGGGCCAGGGTGTGTGCACTTTGACAGAAGACTCTGGAAGGCGTCTCCAAAGGAGGCCTTCCAGGGGGAGGTGTGGTATTCAGGCAGGTTTGCAGGAGGAGCCCCAGAAAGGTCTCCTGTGGAGGCCTTTTGAATGAGACAAAGCAGAAGAAAGGAGGGGGGAGGGAGGAAGGGTGTCCAGGTGGAGAGGGCGAGGACAAAGGTGAGAGCCCCTGGGCAGGAAGTGCCGAAAGAGAGGAGGAGGGAGGCCCCCTCCGGTGCGGGCCAGGGAGCCGGCTTGGGAGACTCCCTGCCGTCCACTTCCCGGGGTGCATTGTTGCCGCCCTTGCTTGCGAGGCAGCCGTGCCATTATTGGGCGGGGCGGCGGGGGGGAGGGGGGCAGCTAAGCAGATAGGACAGCAAACTGGGGATTTATGTGGTGTGGGAACAGCTCGGGTTTCCCTCACTGTTTACCCAGCAGTATTTTGTAAAACAGAAGTCAGCGCGAGGGTAACCACAGCTGGGAGTTACTGGCTCTGGCTGCGAGACCAGCCGTGGTGGTGGGGGGGGGGGTCTCCTCCATAGCACTTTGCTCTGCATTAGCTTGGAAGTTGCTCAAGGAATGTGCCCTTCCCCAGCGGGGGTCCAGGTAGAAAGGGTGGGCAGGTCCTAGGCCGCTCTCTCTCCTCCAGGACAAAGGCCAGCACCCCCGAGGGAGCCTGAAGCCTTAGAGGTCACGCA